TTGGGTTGCCTCCCAAGTAGCGCCTTTCTTTAATGTCTTTGGCTAGACATGCTATGCTTTGCTCATGGAGGATAAAATCTTGTGACTCGTTTCAGTGCTTCATCTTCAATGTGATCCTGGTAACCCTCATAGATGGAGTAATCCTTGAGCACACGAGCTACGGGCTTCCATGGACTAGTGAATGGCGCCAAACGAGTCGATGATAATTTGCATTCTCCATTCACTCCTCCCTCACTTGCATTTATTGGTTCAAGATATCTCGCCATCGCCACTCTTAATTTATTCCTGTCATGAAATTCAAGATTGTCTGGTATAATAAAGTCAATTTCGTTAACAGGAATTGAAGAGTAAGAGTCAGGAGAATATTGATGAAGGAGTGGAGGAGATGTCACCGCATTTGGAGATTGTTCACTGGATTCATTCACTTGAACGAGTTGATCTTGGAGTCTCATTTCTTGCACTTCAGCTTCCTTTTCAACTGCATCTTTAAATCCGTTTTCTTGAAACTCTTTCAGTTCCATGTCATTTGGCCGGACAATTGCACTCTCATCTTCCTCAAGATTGATATTGGTTTGTGCGGGCAATTCTTCCATTTGAGGAGCCAATCGATTTATTCTGGATGTCAATAGACATAGTTGATCTGCCAGATAACTCATTGCATCCTTCATCATCTCATTCCTCATTTGTGTCTCCTGTTGGAATTGGTATGTATTAATAAATAATTCACCCAATTCCTGAAAAGACATACCTGACATGGACGATGGTTGTTGAGACTCTTGCTGTTGAAAATCCATTGGCCCGGTCGCATAATCAAAATTGGAATTATCCCACCATCCTTGATCATACCCGTTTGAATAAGGGTCATACTGTGTTTGATATTGGGGTGAAAAATCTCCAAAAGTATCAATTGGAGCACTTAGATTATCTTGAAATGCGGGGCATGTGTCAGTTGAATAACCTGAGTCAAAATAAGTTTCACAATTTGCAACAGCCCATTGATCATTAGGAAAAACATGAGTCTCATAACCCCATTCAGGAACAAAGTCCAGTCTATCATCAAAATATAGAATGTTAGCAGCCATAAAAAAAAATAAATAAATAAGAGAAAAATAAATTAAAAATGAAAATAAGGTGAACTCAAAAAGAAACAAATTAATCTGACACCAGTCCCCGGTAACGGCGCCAAAAATTGGCAGGGTGTCAAACCTGTGCAATAATAAATACCTACTCGAGAAAAATACAGATTTTGTATACAGCGGTGAGTAGGGTCGAATCCACAGGGACTGGGGATAATTCGTTTCTTCTAGAGTCCAAAGTATGGGGGGTTTTGGATTAAGTGCTAACTAAATAAATTAACTGCAGAAAATAATTGATTAAGAGGAATAATTAAGGGAAAACTCTAGCCAATGGTACACTTCAGAAATGGTTCATGCACTGATCATTGATGCAGAAATAATTCCAACATTTAGTAATAGATTAGTTATAGTTGTCATGCATGCGATAAACAACCAATCCTTCCTTAATTTCTCGATAGCTAAGGTACGACCGTTAGCTATTTCTCTAACCCAAAAATAACCCTAGGTACGACCGTAGGATTTAATTTCTAGATTGCATTAATAATTAGAAAGACCCAATCCTAACCAACAAACACGCTACGAGGGTTTGTTTAAGCTAGATCATATGCTCCCCTGACATAAACCCAATTACGCCAGTTGCTACTAAGATAGAGATAACGAACAATTACGGATTCAATTACCTCTATTTAGCAAAATAGCCTATATAAATAATTAATTATTGCGCACTAATCAATCATACATAAGGACTATAACAATTAAAAACAGGAAACACATAAATACCAATAAATGAGGAAGCGATTAAAATAATTTCGATCTCACAGTAATTGTTGAACCAAGTCTTCAGTTGTCCCCTTGACTAGAATTAAGAGGTTAGTCCTCCATTAATGGAGAACAACCATGCGAAAGAGCTAAGAGAAGAAAAACTAAAACTATGCTAAAAGCCTAAACTAAAACTATTGATTGATAAGAGTTCTCTGTACGTTTGTCTCCTTTTTAAAGCCAACAATGACTAAAGCTTCTTATCCCTGTGGTCCCCTGCTGAAATTGAGAATCAAACCAAAAGTGGGGCTCTACCGAATTCCTTGCTTTTAGTTTCCTATTGCTCGTAGGACTCCAATCTCCTAATCAGCAAAGGAAATGCAATCTCTTTGTAGCACCATGTGGGCCCGGTTGTTTGAAATCCCAATTATCTCCAAAAAGTCCCTCATTTTTGTAGTTTTCTGTTTCACTTCCTGAAATTGAATCCAATACCAAATATAAGTAGATATTAATAATTAAAACAATATTTGGCAAGGATAAAGGGGAAAATTAACAATAAAATAACCAACAATTAACACCCTATAAATCTGACAATGTTTAGTTGTTTAAGAATAGTACCTGTGGAACAAGCAAACGAGCTAATTTTATGGGAGTTTTATTGAACTTTTATTATTTGTGTTTTGAATGATGGTGTAACTTTAAAGAAACGTCTCGAACTTGTTCAAGAATGGCTTGTTTATGTTAAACGAGTTGAGTTTGAACTTGACTCAAACTAGGATATTGTTTAACGAACCGAACACGAACACAGATTTAGAACTTGAGTATTATTGAATGAACACGAGCCTTGTTCGAATAACTTAATTAACAGATCTCACATTGATGAAAATCAATTCATCCCAATAATTTCAAAGAAAGCCAAGAAACAAAAGAAGTATTGAAAAACTGGCAAAACAATGCAAACACGACAAGATTTCAAGTGAAAAAACTCAAGCATCTTCATGGTTTTCCCATGGACTGGAGTGTATACTCCATATGTATTTTCTTTTCTATGTAGCATAATAAGGGGCTACCGACCCTACCCTCTGTTGTAGAAAAAAATGGAAAATAAAACCTGTAAAAATTATCTTCTGTGTATATAAATCGAGACAGATTTAAGTACTTCCTACAAAATGGAAAAAATCCAAAGTTGAAAGAGCTTACACCATTAGATAAATTTTTGCACATTGGAACTTGTCTGCGTTCCAGTGACTAATCAATTCAATAGCAAAGCAGTATTCTCGAATTGTCATCAAATTTTAGTATAGTCCAAATGTATTTGAACATGTTTAAAACAATATGATGTAGGTTGGCTGCGTACACTGGTTTGAGATGAATTTGCCTAGAAGTGTCCCAAAGTAATTTTGTTAGTACACCATTAATTAGATGTACTTATAAAAATTCTATGAAGCATAAATAATTAAAACTTAATATTTTGAACTTACAAAATTGCATATTGGATACTCTAGGCAATAAAAAAAAAGACCCTATTTGATATACCCAATTCAGTATTAAAATTTAATTTAGATCTTAACATGTTCATTTCAATGGGTTCTCCTCTTGTAGAAAAAGGAATTTAATTTTTTTTCGTTTTTCTTTATTGCAAAAAGGGCTTGATTTTGTGATCATGTTCTTAATTTTGGTAAACAAAAAAAAGGTATAAATTTTTCCTTATTGGTATTTTGGATGTGCAGGGAGCAAAAGAATAGGATATTGAAGAGTACATAAACAGAACCCAATGAGTTTGGGAGAAAGAAGTAGCTTGCTCGAAGCCTTTACATCTACTTCTGAGAAGGTACACATATCACCTTGATATCCATTGTTTTATTGAGAATATACTTCTACAAGACAATTTGCAAGGTCATATGTGTTTCTTGTTTCTAAAAGGTCATATGTGTTTCTTGCCACTTATCAGATTTCCTTTGTTCTAATGCTTAGAATTCTAATTTTCTGCTACAGATGGTTTGGACTTAAACACCTTCACTAGAAAATTTAGCTGTTAAGCTGGACTACTTTTGATAGATATTAGTCTCAGCTTTTTTTTAAAAAAAAATTTTGAAGTTTAATGATTCGAACGTGATTTCTTTTTTCTTCTTTTAGTTTACACGCTTTTACTATTTTAGGGTAATATAGAAAATCTCACCGTGTGAGATTAAGGAAGTTGAATTCTTTTTTACAACTTCTTCCAAGTATTTTATTTTTATGTATTTGAGACTTTCAATTATGTATTCTTTCACATCATACTACTGTTTGAATTGATTTAATTCTGCCAATTCAGTTTTCCTTTGACTGCACCTTCCTCGAAAAGAAGCAAGAGTTCCGTTAAATTCCCCCTCCTACCCTCCCTTCCTTTTTCTTTTTGTAAAAGGAAAAAAATTATTTACTGTTGAAGTAAACTGTCCTTGTTCTACTTTTCTTATTAGTATTGTTATTTCGAGAAATTTGTTGCAGATAAGAAAGTTTCCCCTAACTTTTATATACTGCAATGGTAATTCTACTTTTATGCCACTCTAATGCCTTTTTTACCTGGTATTATGGGTATAATCATTTGAAGTTATAATTTTTAGATTGAATAATCCTTGATTACAAAACTGTCATATTTTAAAAACAGCAACAACTGACATAGAAAAGCTGCCATATTTTAAAAAACTGTCATATTTTAAACTGCCATATGTTTCAACATTACTACAATTATGATTTGTATAAAGTAGTATTGGTATGAATTCTTTGAAATGTTTGCTTTTAGATATATTGGTCATCGTAAAAGAACTATATTCTAAAAGCTCATCTGTTGGCTTTTAGCCTGTTTGTCCTTTCCAACAAAACCTTGTCCATGATTATTCAACCTAAATTTGGGAGGGAAAATTAAGAGCAAGAGTTGTTAAGATTTTTGGAGTGCATATCTGCCTGCTTTAATGCTGTTAATTTCAGTTGTGCTCGGTTGGTGTTCATCTCTATTGATTGCCATGCCTTATGATTACCAATAAAATGAATGTGCTTGTCTTTGATTTCTTCTAGAATTTTTTGAGCCAGGTTGGAGAGATGAAGAAGCTTGTTGAAGAGGGTAAAGTTAAATACATCGGTCTATCAGAGGCCTCTGCTTCGATAATCAGAAGGGCTCATACTGTTCATCCTATAACAGCTGTTCAATTAGAATGGTCATTGTGGTCAAGAGATTGGACAAAGAAATTCATCTGACAAGCAGGTAGAAATATTTTGTGCTGTTACAATTGGTTTGGAAGAAATTAAATAACTCTGTTTACTTTCCTACTTCATTATCAGAGAGCTTGGTATTGGCATTGTCCCTTACACCCCTCTTGGACAGTGATTTTTCTCTGCAGGACCACAACTGTTTGACAACTTGGCAGAGGGTGACATGCATAAGGTTGGTGTACTGAACAATTTATTCTGATCTTATGAGTATATTTTCACTATATCACGATTCATTGCGCTTTTCTCTTTTGTACTCAATGGAGTTGGGAAAGTTAGCAAGTAAATGGTTGGTAAAAGAGAATGCATAGAGCATGTAACATCTAATTTACATTATTTATCTGTAGCATAGTAACATCTCATCTTATTTTTGCATGTACCATGCGTTTTCTTGCCCCTAAGAGATGTTTCTGCTGTGCACGCATGTGTGTGCTTTGACATCTTTTTCCCCCTTTGTCATTGGTTTGGGAAGAGGGAGGAGGCAGTCCTTACTTTCAAGTTTTCTCTAGATTTTCAGTTTTTTCCTGCAGATGCTAATGGTCTCCTAATTTGTGTCCTTGTGTTGTATGATAATCTGAATGGCCATTCATTTCCTTTTCCACTAGAATTCTGCTGAGTGCACATTAATGCTACAGCACTTTTTTCACGTGTGATACAGCACTATTACAGGATTAATGATTTAAAATTTGCAACTCTTTAGAATTAGTTCCATTCCTGAGTCTTTGGTTGCAGAGTTTTCCAAGGCTGAAATCAGAAAACCTGGAGGAAAACAAGAAAATATTTGCACGGGTTACTGAAATGCAGCAAAGAAAGGATGCACCCCAGCACAGCTGGCCTTGGCTTGGGTTCATCATCAAGGAGATGGCATGGTTCCAGTACTTGGTGCCACCAAGAAGGAGAACTTCAACCCAAATGTCAGAGCTCTATCAGTGAAATTAACATGAGTAGATGGCTAAACTTGTGTCCTATGCTTCCGCTGATGTGGTTAAGGGTAATAGACATGCCTTCGTGGCAACAACATGGAAGAACTCTGATTTTGTTATTGTTTATTTTTTGGACAAAAAAACTCCATTTTTTCAATGGGTTCTCTTCTTGTAGAAAAAGGAATTTAATTTTTTTTTTTCGTTTTTCGTTATTGCAAAAAGGGCTTGATTTTGTGATTTGATAGAACAACTCCTTATTACTTTTCTAGCCCTCTACATTCTGATTATATGGATGTGTTTCCATCTAATTATGCCTTTTTATGTAATTTAGCTTTTTTAACTTTTTACCCACTCTTGGAGACCGTTTTCCCTCTGAATTCTGTCGGCCATTACTGTTCATTGCATTTCATCCCCTCTTCTCTAGGCAATTTTGTCATTCCAGCCTCTTGCTTGTTCTTTTTCTTGAAGCTGGTACAACTGGTTGCTGCTTTTATTTGGAGAATGTATCTTTTCTATCCTTATTACACAACGCTTTTTTGGTTATTGCTTTGCAAAACTCCATATTTGTGTTTTCACAGTAGCCTTCTACTTTTGCTATTGGAAATTGTTCTTCATCTGACTCCATGTTTGCTTTTATTTTTTGCATTTACATCTCTCCGCTCTATCCTGCTACCACTTACACGAATGGCATCTAAATCACAGGTGTCCAAACATCTGAGACGTTACCATGCCTACATTTTTCCTACCAGCTACCACTGCCTTTTTGAGGCCATTTCTATCTATTACCAGATATTTGCCAACCCTTCATCTTCCTTCATCTTCTCCAGAGGCCATAACAATAAAGGACCGGGCCATCTCCAATCTCTCTGATCTGCTTGGGCAAGAAAATAAGGCGAAGGAACATAAGAATCTTTTGACCCAACTTCGGCCCTTCTTTTCCTTGATCCCCAAAGTGAAAGCTGCAAAAATTATCTGTGGAATTGTTGATACGGTGGCCAAAATACCTGCCACATCTGATGTTCAGATTACCCTATGCAAGGAAATTGTGCAATAGACGCGTGATGAGAAGTGAACTTTCCTTTGTTAGCGCACTGAGGCAAAACTTGCAGCTCTATTGATGGAGACCAAGGAAGATTACGAAACTTTAGCTCTGCTTTCTGGACCAATCAAGGAGGTGAGAGGATATAGCTTTCATTTTATATGGTCTTTTGCACTTGTATAATTTCTCTCATGGGAAAGTTTCATGTTTTATGTCTCTGCAAGTTCAGAATATAGGAAATGTTGTCTAACAAAGGGATTGTGGGAGATTGATATATCAATAGATAGCCTTCTATTTTGCCACCATTTATGTGTTGCTGCACATTTTGCCACCATTGATGCGTTGTTCTGTTTACGACAGAATTTACTCTCTTCATTTATTTTTAGAACTGGTGAATTTGGACTGCTTTTCATTTTTAGTTTGAATGACAAACTTTGTTTTCATACTTGTCTAAGTTATTTTAAGTATCCACAAATGAGCGTAAAAGCTGCATACTTGTTATCATGCCTCTTCAATATAATCCAAAATTTTATGTTTGGTCACACATGTTAGCAAATAGATTTTTTTCCCAGATTCAGTATTAAATGTATGTCGCAAAGAAAAGTTACTGGGGTATTCCTATCAATTATCTTTCTTCTTGATTAATGTGCATGTGAGATTGAGCAGGCTTCTATTCAAACACAATGATTTGAAAACTAGCGTTTAAATCAGTAAACATAAAATAAGTAATATTTTCAACTTTAAACCTTCATTAAGTTTGGTGCAAGTCTGTCAAGTCTCTCTTTTTTTTTTTGAATTAATAATGGTTCGTTTGTAATTTATTGTTCTGGAATTACTAATAGTAACTTACTGACTTGTAAGTCTGTTTAGGCCTTCTCAGCTCTGACGCTAATACTTTGCAGGCTTCAAATATTTTGCAAGAGTTGATCAACATTCATATTGACGGAAAAGTTATATTAGCAATCCAAGGTCAGGTCAAAGATGATAAGCCTACCTTTATTGAGCGAACAGCAGTAAAATCTATTTGTGGAGTCTTTGAAAACTTGTTGACTACTCAAGTTGGCATTCCAAATGAACAGCTTCTGCAAGTCATTTTTGTCTTGTTCCTAAAACTTTGTAAGTGTACAGTTCTTTGATTCTTGCAAAGATGCAGCCTACTTTTTATTGACTTTGATAGCTTGATAGGAATAAATTTATCAATCTCATAATTCAGTAGTAGCTTATAGCTATTAGCTGCGGGTGCTTGATAGCGTCTGACTGACAACACTTATTTGTGCATGTTTCCCTGTGAGAGTGGTTGTTTTATATTGATTTTCTTTTTAAAAATTTCATTTTGGATATTTTTGTATGACATCTACATTGTTTACTCATTCACTGACAAGATTTACATTAGAAGCGTACAGTTTGATATCGTCCTGGAATCCACATGTGATTAGTTTTTTCACCCATATATCTCAGCAAAATAATTAAGATTGGACTATATTCTTGCAATTTATTTTTCTTGGCGCTTCTTATTTTTTCTTAGTTTCTGTCTAGAGTATGCATCTGATTTCCCTAGGACTTACAATTGTTTCCATATGTTCCTAAGCTTTGCCCTAATACCATGCATTTCTGAAATGACCACCTTAATGACTTCATAGCTATGTTTCTAAGTAAAAATGGTTGACAAAAAATGAAGTTTGACTTTTTTCCCTTTCTAAAGTTTTGTTCTGAATACTTCTCTTGATTGAGAAACATTAGTGCCTGACGAAGTTATGCATTCTATTCTGAGATAGCAGCATTAACTCATTACTCTGTGGCAAATGTCTTATACATTTGCACCTGTAATTAGATGTTCTAATGCATCTTTACATGCTATGCAAACACAAATCTTCTTCATTGTGTTTGACTTTGAAATGCAAGCTAATATGTGATGTTTGCTTGTAGAGAGGTGCCGCATGTTTATTTGAAGAGTATAGTACTCAAACTCGCTCAAACGATGACTAATGATAGTGGTGTTTCTGACACAACATATGTAAGTGTACTTTGAAGCTTCCTATTAATTAACACTAAAGATTTTGAAACTATCCTATGGCATGTCATCTAAGAGAAATTGATTTTGATATGATTCATAGCGTTCAAAAGATGTGAATTCCAATTTGGTCTGGCTTATTGGAGTCTCAAGCTTCCCCTAACTTGGACTTTTATTTCTTTCCCTTTTTTCTATTGCTTCTTTATAGGGGATTTTTTCATACAGCATCAAAAATTTCATTGGCAAGGCACTTATCAAGTTATAAGTAAAAATGCAATTATTTATTAAATAACCAAGTTAATATTTTATTATTCATTTATTTCATCAGTATTTCTTTCCAAACAAATAAATAATTGCACTTGTATGATTCCTCGTCATATGTTGCTGCCCTTTTTAACTTTGCATTACTCTTTGTGCATCCCATGCATGTTCTTCCGTTTGTATGTCCATCCTATGGTATTCATGCACTTAATTGTTTTTTCAAAATCTTAAAACTGACAGGTTTATTCTACTTATTTCATAAACTTGCAATATGCAGAAAATTCATAAATGCAGGGAAAGTATCTTCAAATTCATAAAACAGAATAAAGGAAAAAAGTGCAGGGAAAAAACTGCACTTTAATATTGAACAGGTCTAAGGAAGAAATATGCAGCTTGTGTAAATTATATCAAGGACTGCAGAGAACTTAGCTGAATAATGAGATATGTTCCCATGCAGTGACTTCTATATTACCAGCACTTGCACTATGCCTTTAAATCTTGGTTCACAACAATGAAAATTTAAAGCAATGATCAATTACATTATTGTTATCCTCTAGACCATTATATCGAGCCACTTACATAACGTACTTTGCCAATCCATTAATCTCTTATTGAGAGTTTAGCATTTAAAAACTGAGATCAGTTTTGCTTTACTCATCAGAAAGCGAAGTGGAAAGCAACTTTTTCCCACATTTGTGGTTTTAGAATTTGTTGTCCTGCCTGCATCAGATAATTTTATTTGATGCTGAAACTATATCAGTATTTCCTTTTGAATTTAATGTACCACATCTTGCAAAAAAGAATGCACAGTATTAAACCCAATAAAGACACCTATTGGTGACTATTTCAGCTGCATGTCTTCTGAATTTGTAGCCCAGCTCTTCATTGGCTCTCCAATTTGAATCTGCTGCTATTAAATGAAAGACATAAAATGAGCGAGTTTCAATTTAGAAGTGTACAATATGGGCAGGAGCATAGCTGGTTCCAGGTAGTTTCTAAGGTCATTTGAAGGTAGCAAGTTACACTACAGGTTTGTTAGCCTGTTATTATACAAAATGGCTCAGTAATCTAGAATTATATCGTTACAAAGAATGATTTGCTTGTTGAAGGTACTCACAAAAACATCTAGCTTCTTATTGAAGATTAGAACAACTCTGATATTAAGTTCCAGTTTGTTTTCTTTTCCCCTTTTTGTAATGGGTTTAGTTTCTTAAGTTACCAAATTTAGAACATTCTAAAGTAATTTTTCATGTACTTTGCTTCATTCACTGAAATCATGATATAGAACTTGACCTTTGACTTGATATTGTTTTCTATTCTTGCTAAGCTTGTCTGCTGCTGATTGTTTTGTGAAGGCGCTGTTCAGAGTTTGAAGACTACGGGACCTTTAAGCTTTGAAAGTCTTGTTCTCTATTTTCTTGGAAGAGTTGCCTGCAAGAAGCATTTGACAAGGTATCTAGCTCTGAGAACTTTAGAACCTGCTTTTCAGGGAACTGGTCAGAGAATGTATCCTAATTGAAAGACTGCAGTGGATAATTATACTGATCTTTCAGTATCTGTTATTCCATTTATTTCATGAAATATGGAACGCGTCACGTGTTGCATCACATTACGAAAATTGCTACGATACTAACATGAAAAACCTTTCCAAATAATCTTCAACCCAAACAGGCTCTTCGATTTTCAATCAAGGAAAAGCTTAAACTTTTTATCCTGTTTTAAGTTTCGATCCAGTGAACAGAAAAAAACTAATATCAACCTTGTTGCGTTTAGCGCAACGGATCTTCTGTACCACAGCCTGTCTCACATCCTGTCCCACTCCTTAAAATCTCGCCAAGTGTCCCTTAATAAACCAAATTCTCAAACAACTTAACTCAGACCATATTAAGTTAATTAATCGATTAACCGGACAAAGAAATTTAATCTCTTTAACCAATATAATCAAAACCAAGAAAAATAAAAACTCTTTAACCAAAATTACAATTTTTCAACGGAAAAAACCCTAAAATATTAAAAAACCTCTGTCCGAGTTCATCATCTTCACCATTCAGCTTTGACGAAATATTCACGGATAAAACTTCGAAGCTCTTCCCAAAGGTCCTCTGTCCTCTTCATCATCTCTTCCCATGAGAAATAACTTTTTTACGAGGATGAGATAAAGCTTCGAAGCTCTTCCCAAAGGTGAGAAACAAATATTTAGTTTTAGTGTAAATTTGTACTGGGTAATGGGTACTTCCGCTTCCGAAGTTTTGTTTGAGCATGCGATTTAATTTTGCTACCTCCAGAATTTGAACGGTTCTGGTAATCTTTGCAACTTTTTTTTAAAAAATAATTTGCTTTCAGGGCATTTTCTTTCTAGCTATGCAGGCCAATTTGATGTAATTTGCTAAGCTTAGGCACTTAATCTAGTTTTCAACTTCAAATCGGTATAGATACACACCGTTGAATTAGTTTTGCTATATCCTCAACTGCATGTGTGTAGTAGTAAGAAATTGGTTATATTCTCTAGTGTCTCTGTTTTAGTGTTTTGGAACTTAGGTGTAGATGATGAAACTAGAGGGTAACAAGTTTGCCTTTATCTTTTGCTGATTAAGGGAATTTTTCTTCTAATTTGCAGCTTCCACTCCAAATGTTTCATCTGTTAAATTTTCTGAAAATTCGGTATGTACTGGACGAAGCTCACCAGCTGTTCGATCAAATGCCTAAGAGGAAGATGAATCAAACTCTAAGGTAAAAGTCTGACTTGGTTGAGCCCATATTTATTAGGAGGGTGTTTTGCGTTTTATACGTTTGATTTTGTTTATTAGGACTACCTGTAGGCTTGTAATTAGTAGTTAGAAAATATGTTAAAGTTTGCATGATGGTTACTTTTTTGTGCTGGCACATGCGATCCTTGTCTCCCTTCTACTCTTTCGTGTCGCAATTTTATTTGATGCATTTGATAATTAGTCCATGAGTTGAAATTTTTATCAAATGCTGATTCATAATCTTAGATTAGTCGTAGTATTATTGATCAACAATGAATGGATGGTCTTTGATTCATAATCTTGATTAGTCGTAGTAGTATTATTGGTCAACCTGCTGGTTTCATTTGGGAAATCTATCTCTGTCTTTGGCAGATGAGATCATCTAAAACCTGATAAGGCCTAAAGGTAAGTGCTTCTAAAAAAAAAGCTCTTTTTTTTATTCTGTAACTATGAATTAAAGCCAAGAAACATGTGTGATCACTGTTTTCTCAAATGGTTTTCTGGTTTTGGTCTATATGGATAGAGGTGCCATCTTGACATGCATTAGTGTGACTAGTTACAGGGTTTATGTATTCATTCACTTCATTGTTACTGTATACAAAGTTCAATGTTTATGAAAATTATGTAACTTAGATAATTGTAATCTCTTATTTGCAGAATGTTATGCATAATGAAGCTTCAATCATGTAAAGCTTGTAACTTTTTCCCTAATACTGCAGGGGTATCTGATATGATGATAGGTTTTTGCAGTCAACTGGAACTGATTCGTGTTACTGCATCTGAGACTATGGAAGCCTATATCATTCTGTGCAACCTTGATGATGGACAAGAAGAGCAGGAGAGGAAAAGGTTCTTGCGTGGAGGAGGAGGAGGAGGAGGAGTGGGGTAAGGCAGAGCCATCAACTCTCAAGAATTCGCCGGAGAACAAACTAAGGGAGGCTCTCGAGGAGGCTTCTGAAGATGGGTCACTTCGTAAAAACACATGAAATTCACTCTGAGTCTTTGAATCAAGATGGCTGCTTGGGAAGGTCAATATCTCTTGCAAGGCTTAATGCCCAGAAGGAATTCTTGAGGGCAACTACTCTTTTGTCTGAAAGGACATTTTGCATTGAAGAATCCATTCCTGGCTTTAATGAAGCCTTCTTGTTGGTTCTTGACTTTGTACCCGAAGTTCCAATGTTGAGAAACAATTGACCATTTGAGAATTGACTTTGTACGGGTTGTTTTCTTGTTTTCAAACGCTACAAAAAGCATAATATTCACTTACTTGTAATAATTGTGTCATGTTCTTAGTATTTTGCCTATTGCAGATGTCTTCTATTGGAATTCCAAATCCCTGATATAATTAAAGAGAGACAATCACAAATTAAAAATATCATTGACAAAATATACCTTCAATGTAGTTTAGTCATTTAAGAATAAAATATTCAAATAAAAATTTAGAATGAATTACATATCTACTATACTATACACGAGAAAAATGACGAATAACTAAACCTGTTGTGGTGATAATTCTCGAACAAAACCTTGAATTGTAATAGAATCCATACTTGAATGAACAACATTATTTCCAGATTCCTACAATCATTTTTATCCAAATTATAAATAAGGATCCCAATACTATTTCCATGCTCATCATTCATCGTAGAACTAAGGAACCAAAAAAAAAATAATAGTCAAACAATAAAATAGCATTGTTCATATAAACAAAATAAATTGTCAAACCTGTGATCTTTTTGATGAAGATTTCTCTTTCACCTTATACTTGCGTTTCTTAGTAGCCATTTCTAGTGCACTTCTTCGTCTCTTGCTCGACTTGTAAGTGACTCTTTCTTTCGCTTTGATGCCTTTTATTTTACTACAGTCGATTTCGGCTGCATGGGTATCAACATCTTGATCCATGCTTTTCCTTTCTTCAATACACACTTCTTTCATTTTCTTTTTCCCTTGACAACATGCATCCATTTGCTCTAACATTTTCCAAAATCCATCTTAACCTTCCACAAAATGTAAGAATTTGTATTTAGACATCTACTCCTAAGGTTACATAACCTTTGTAATTTTTGAGAATAATGCAGCCACAGGAAAACAGGAAATAAAAAACACAAAAGTAAAAAAAAAATGTCCAGAATTGAGAAAAAATTACTCAACATGTTGAGATATATTGCTTCTTATTACTTCCACAAAATTTATAACAATATTTGAACCTCGAGTGCAGTATAATGAGAAGAAAGGCATTTAAGATCTGCAAAATATCAATTATAGCCTGTTTTGGTCCATTGTTAAATCATGCTCATTGTTCCATCACTTCACTTCTTCTTGCTTTTTCCCAATGTACGAATTTGGTTACATTTGAATCACCTAGAAGACTTTTTTCAGAAGAAGTGGAAATTTCTGGCTATTGATCAATGGGCTTTCCTTAGTGTTTTCTGCGCTTCATTTTGCAAGGCAGAGTGACTAAATAATCCAACGTTGTCGCTTTCGTGTAACGTGTTTTACTTTTATCAGGTTCAGGATTGAATGCCAGCAGCACATATTTTGCTCCTCAAAAAATTAAATTTCCAAAAAAAATAATAATGTAAACTCGACCATATTTTTTTTTTCTCTTTTAAAAGCTTGATCACTTTTTCTCAGAGTTTATAGAGTTTTCAATATTGCACTCCATTTTCCTTTCTAGCAAGATGAAACTAGAAAAAATTGAGAACACAGAGCTGATTGGAGGAAAAGAAAGTTCGAGGCGAACCCAAAAAATCTGCTACGGAAAACATTGATTGAAACAAATGAAATATGAAAATGGCAATTTATCCAAATGGCACATATTTAACATTTGAGGGAAAAAAAGGTTAAAATGGTAGACAACATTTGAAGTAGAGGTTTTGCTCTACTAGCAAAAATATGGGCGCAACCAAGTCAGACTTTTACCTTACAGTTTGATTCATCTTCCTCTTAGGCATTTGATCGAACAGGTGGTGTGCTTCGTCCAGCAGATACCGAATTTTCAGACAATTTAACAGATGAAACATTCAGACTGGAAGCTGCAAATTAGAAGAAAAATTCCCTCAATCAGCAAAAGATAAACGCAAACTTGTTACCCTCCCAAAATCATCTACACCTAAGTTCCAAAACACTAAAACAGAGACACTAGAGAATATAACCAATTTCTTACTTCTTCCCTGCAATTGAGGATATAGCAAAACTAATTCAAAGGTGTGTATCAACAGACCAATTTGAAGCTGAAAACTAGATCAAGTGCCTAAGCTTAGCAAGTCACATCAAATTGGCCTGCGAAGAGCTTCGAAGAACCCCACCAAGGTTTTTAAGAAATAACTTGTTTCTCACCTCTGGGAAGAGCTTCGAAGTTTTATCCGTGAATATTTCGTCAAAGCTGAATGGTGAAGATGATGAACTCGGACAGAGGTTTTTTAATATTTTAGGGTTTTTTCCGTTGAAAAATTGTGATTTTGGTTAAAGAGTTTTTATTTTTCTTGGTTTTGGTTATATTGGTTAAAGAGATTAAATTTCTTTGTCCGGTTAATCGATTAATTAACTTAATATGGTCTGAGTTGAATTATTTGAGGGTTTGATTTATTAAGGGACACTTGGCGAGATTTTAAGGAGTGGGACAGGATGTGAGACAGGGTGTGGTACAGAAGATCCGTTGCGCTTGAAATACGCGACTCAAATTCGCGTTTTACAATACAGCCGCGTTTTCATTCCTGCAAGATTTGTACAGGAAACGCGACTTCAAAAACCCGAGTTGAAGGCGCGTTTTCAGTCGCATTTTCTGTGTCCGAATATAGCCTTCAGAAACGCGATTTCAGCTTCATTTCTTCCTCTCTTCTTAATTTTCCAGGCGCGTTTTTCTTCTTCTCTTCTACCCAACTCACAAATCTTCAATTTTGTTCAATAATCTTACTAGAAAACATCAACCCAACACCTTTTGAGCTTCATACAACCTTTTTAACCAATTAAAATCCAAGAAAAACACCTCAAATTCAGTTTTTGAAGGATTGAAGGTTATGGTTTTTCAACTCTAATTTCTTCAATTAGAGGTCAATTGGAGGTTGTTTCATAGGGCTTTTTGCATTTTTAGCATCACCAAACATCCTTCGACGTGATTGAGGTAAGTTTTTTCATCAAATCTTTTGATTTTAGAAAGTCATATTTTTTTTATCCTGAGCTATCTGACATCTTTTAATTTCGAAAATTTGATGATGTATTTGACTATTTTTTAATTTATTCATGTTTATTGAGATTGTTTAAGTATGTTTATGAGTTTAAATGTAGCAATTAGTTGGTCATTATTGCTTTATAAATTCATAATTGCTATATTTGAAGGAAATTGGAAAATGAAGTTAGGATGTTTTTGAGCCATTGGTGATTATTAATTATGGTTAAGAATGGTTAGTTGATGATGTTTGAGCATGTGCATTGTGTATAGTGAGTAATTTGGTTGATTTGGTGAGTTAATTGATTTAATTTTTGCCTAAACATGATTATAGCTAAAAGCATATTATTATTGTTAATTCTAAATAGTTATAATCATAATTGTTGCTATTTTCACCAATTGAGTTATAATTATTCCATATCTTGTTTCAATTGGTGATTTTGAGCAATTTTTGGCATAAATTATGACTCTTCTTTTTTTCAGTCCTTTACATTAGTTATTGGACGAATTATCACTTGAAGGGACAATTGGAGATTATTTGGATCATTTTAGGATATTCATTGCCAAATTGTGAATTGTGTCAAAATACATGTGGTTAATTGCAACATTTTCTTTTAGGTACCATGCCAAGGGGAAGAAGAGTGGTACTTTCATCCTCTAGTAGTGAGGAGAGGGATGTTAATGAGGAGATAGAGGTGACTGAGGAGGAGAATTCACCTTCTCCTCCACCAGTTAGCCGTCAACCTGGTGAGGGCACCTCCCGTGGAGCGGGTAGATCGGTTTTTGACAGTGCTAGGTTCAATACTTGCAGGAATCAAGAATGGCATGAGGAGCGTGCTAATTTGGAGTTCCTGTTTGAGATGCATGTGAATCCAACAGTTGAGATGATGTACAACATCTCGGAGGCTTTTGCTCAGCTTGGATGGGCTCCGATTCTCACCCTACCAGACCATTACTACCCCGACTTGGTGCGTGAGTTTTACGCCAATATTGAGAGTAAGATGCGCCATAGTGGAGAAATAGTTGAGTCCTGGGTACGTGGAAGATGAATCACCTTGTCACGTCAAGATTTGGCGGCTATTTTGGGGTGCATGGATGACGGACGTCCAGTAGATCTGAAGAAGGAGTTTGTTCCCCCGAATAGGAGGTGGGATCCCTCGCTAGCCATGGCTAGGTTTGATCTTGAGTACCAACCTTTTCGCTCTACAAGGAAGGAGACCATTTTGGCGAATGTCTTCGAACCTCGTCATCGGCTTATCATTTACATGATGGCTCACAATGTCATCCCAAAGAAGATGTAATGGTACCACTGATTATAATCAGAGTAGCTAAGGGGGTAGATGAAAAAGAAAGAGAACAGAGGAAATAGGGAAGGAAAGATACGTGAGAGGGAAGGGATAATGAAGGAAAGAAGGAACTGAATTTGTTGTATCTCATTGCATAACCTTTCCGTCCCCTTTTAGGCTTATTTATACAAGATTCTTCCTCTAGATCCTTCTGTGTTCTAACCGCCCCCTTAACAGAATGAGCGTACATGCATGCATGCCTTTTTGATGAGTAACAGAGTAACTAACTTTTGAATTACTAACTAACTTCCTAAAATAGAAAACGCAGCAGATACATTTCTGCTAAAGGTATTTAAAATATCTAGGGTCATTACAACACCTTCCCCTTAAGAATCCTAGTCACTAGGATTGAGCTGGAAATTTGGGAACTGTGATTGTATTACTGTGACATCCTCCCAAGTTGAGTCTTCCGTGCCTAAGTTCACCCACTTGATCAACACTTGAGTCATCTTCTGTTTTCTCCTTATGATTTCACGAGTATCAAGTACACTTTCCGGGGCAATTTTAATCTGCCCCTCAGCAGTAGTCAAGGGTAACTCCTGAGTCACAACACGATTTGTTGCAGATGGTTTGAGCAAGGAAACATGGAAGGTAGGATGTATCAAAGAACCAGCAGGTAACTCTAGCTTATAGGCTGCATTTCCAACCTTTTGAAGGATCTTATACGGCCCATAGTACTTGGAAGATAACTTCAGATTCTTCCTGATTGCTACTGAAGTTTGCCTGTAAGGCTGCAATTTCAAGTATACCCAGTCACCTACCTGGAAACTCCTTTCAATTCTGTCCTTGTCAGCAAACTGCTTCATTCGATTTTGAGCCTTGATTAGATTTCCCCTCAGCAATTCATTCCACTTCCTCCTATCCCCCAACCACTGTTCCACAGCGGCTACTGGGGTCTCTAAGGTATCTAGGCCTAATTCAGAGGGTGGATAACCATACAGAGCCTGAAAAGGAGTCATTTTCAAGGCTGTGTGATGGTTGGTATTGTACCACCATTCGGCAGCTGCTAGTAAGAACTTCCATTTGTGAGGTTGTTGGAAACAAAGACACCTCAAGTATGTCTCAACGCACCTGTTCAGCCTTTCTGTCTGCCCATCTGTCTGAGGGTGGTATGCAGTGGAGTAGTGCAGCTCAGTACCCAGCTTCCCAAACAATTCCTGCCAAAACATGCTAGTAAACAGCCTATCCCTGTCTGATACAATGCTCAGGGGTAATCCGTGCAACTTGTAGATGTTATCAAAGTACATGCTAGCTACTGATTGTGCTGTATACTTGGAGGGTAGTGCTAAGAGGTGGCAGTATTTGGTAAACCTATCAATGACCACTAGTATTCCTTCATATCCTTGAGATTTAGGTAATCCTTCAATGAAGTCCATTGCAATGTGCTGCCATGCTTGCTCAGGGACAGGAAGTGGTTGCAGTAGGCCTGGTGTTTTGCAATTTTCTACCTTGCTCCTCTTACAGACATCACATTGCTGCACCCAACCTTCTACCTCTCTCTTCATTCCTGGCCAGAAGAATGGTCCCTTCAACCTCTGATAGGTTCCCAGATTGCCTGAGTGTCCTCCAAGGTGCGAGTCATGAAAGCAAGTTATCAGCTTCTGTCGCAAGCTCCCTGACGCTCCAATGTAAATCCTGCCTTTATACCTGAGTAATCCCCTATCAAAAGAGTAATTTGGAAGAGAGTTAGGTGTAATTGTCAAGGCTTCGATTAGCTTAATCACTGCACTATCCTCTCGGTAGCTTTCCAGAACCTCAGCTAGCCACGCAGGTTTCATGACTGAGAGACTGTGTGTAGAGCTATCTTCTTCATAGCCTCTCCTGGACAGTGCATCAGCCACAAGATTTTCCTTACCTCTCTTGTACTGTATTTCATAGTCCAGTCCTAGCAACTTAGTAAGCCACTTTTGCTGCAGGGGAGTGGTTATCTTCTGCTCTAGTAGGTACTTTAAGCTCTGGTGATCTGTCTTTATGATGAAATGGTTGCCCAGCAGGTAATGTCTCCACTTGGAAACAGCTGTAATAAGGGACAGCAACTCCTTCTCGTATATGGATAGTCCCAGGTTCTTAAGTCCCAGAGCTTGACTGAGATAGGCAATAGGCCTTCCCTGCTGCATTAGGACTGCACCAATAGCCTTATGACTAGCATCGGTTTCTAGGATAAAAGGTAAAGAGAAATTAGGAAGAGTTAGGACTGGTGTACTGCTCATTAGCTGCTTCAGTTTTTGAAAAGCTAGCTCAGCCTGCTCATTCCAATGGAAGTTTTCCTTCTTCAAGAGTTCAGTAAGTGGCTTGGCAACAAGTCCATATCCCCTCACAAACCTCCTGTAGTACCCCGTCAGTCCCAAAAAACCTCTTAATGCTTTCACTGACGTAGGGGCAGGCCAATCCATCATGCTCTTGACTTTTGAAGAATCTGCCTGCACTCCATCTCCACTGATAACATGTCCCAAATACTCTACTTGTGACTGTCCAAAGACGCATTTGGAAAGCTTGGCAAAAAGAGAATGAGCTTGGAGTGTTTCTAGGACAGTTTTGAGGTGCAAAAGATGAGTGTCTGGGTCTGGACTGTATACAAGGATGTCATCAAAGAATACTAACACAAACTTCCTCAGGTAAGGTTCAAAGACATGGTTCATCAGGCTTTGAAAGGTTGCGGGTGCATTAGTAAGACCAAAGGGCATAACAGTGAACTCATACAATCCAAGGTGAGTTTTGAAAGCTGTTTTTGGAATGTCAGCAATGATCATCCTGACCTGATGGTATCCAGCTCTTAGATCTATTTTAGAAAAGAGCTTGGCTCCATACAGTTCATCAAGTAAATCA